CAAAGTCCCTACTGCTTTGACTGTTCAGTGTCCCAGGCTGCACCAGGTGAGACGTAAGGATACCGTGGCCCGCTCTTGTGGACACCTCAAAGGGGCTGGCAAAGTATGCTGGGCAGCTTCTCTGGCTGAACAATAACTCCATAACGAATAAAGAAATGCAGCCGCGTGGCCTGCAGGCAGTGGTGGAGGTGCAGGCAGGAGGCAGAGCTCGGGTCCCCCAGGGGTGCAGCTGGTGGAGGGAAGTGCTCCCACGATGCCTACGTGAGAGGGACACCATTGTCTAACTTAAAAGAAGAGTTTCTGGCTGGGGGAGTCCCAGCGGCTCAAATTCCTAGGCCAATGCTTCGCTGCAACCGGTCACAAATATTTTTTAACAATCCTGAAGCAGCCAGCGTGTGGGTCAGGTGTGTCAGGGCAGAGAACAAAGGCACAGACAGTTTGTCTGCACTGAGACTTGTGGAAAGTTTCCCTTCTTCTTGCTGGAGCGCCTGGCTGGCTCCAGCAAGGACTCCTGGCCTCTGCAGCTCCTGTCAAATGCTCGCTGTCATTTTGTACACCCTCTCATGTAGACTGGCTCTGGGCAACTTAGTGAAGACAGTAATTAAATGTTGGGTCTGGCCTCCATGAAATCTAGAGCTGTTACAGGAACTGATGGTGAGTTTCAAAACTCCTGACACAGCTGGAGATGAGGACATCTCGAGGAGGCAATCATCGACTAAGGGCCACAGAAACTCTGTCACGCCTCAGGTGGCACCTTGCCCAGGAAACACTCATTTCCCCTTGACACTGGTCAGCCAAGCTTCCTTGGAAAAAGGTTCCTCTATATCCTTTTACGTGCTGCAGAAGAGATTGCATCTGCTGTAATTTCTATAGCTGACTGTATTTCTCTGTGACTATAAGCTAATACACTAACATGCAGTTCTGTGCTTGATGACCAAGGCAGAGTATTTCCAATTCCTCTCGTCATTTCTTCAAGGGGAAAAAAAAGAGTGTCTGGAAAGTTTCTGTAAGCTAGTTCCTGCATGGGCACTACTTTAGCAAGCTATGTTTGCTTACTACATTCTGGTCTAGCCATGGCACTTCAAATCTGCATCTGCTCCGTTTAGGAGCTCAAGGTATGTTTCAGTAGGAGCAAGTCTGGTCATTCCTAATGCTTGCAGTAAGCAGGGGGAAAAATTACAGTCAAGATTTCTCTTTACATTATGCAGAACTTGCAGACAACCCTGTTCCTCCTTTCCCTCCCTCAGTTTTTGAGCGCTCTTTTTAATCTGAATGAACTGTTTGACCTTAAAGCCAAAATAATTTCTTCCTTAAGCAATAAATTAGGCTGGAGAGCTAAAGGAACTTATCAGAAAGTATCACATCACTGTGGCTTTTGTGTGGGGGACAATATTCTAGCCTGCCACTGTGGAGCCATCCCTTGTCGTGCCGAGGCAGCTGCTGTGTTTATTTGCAGGGTCATTGTGCCACAGGGAAGCTGGAGACACCGGATATTTAGCAATGTGAGCTAATGCTTCCTGCATCCAGGCTGGCAGCCACACAAAGCCTGAGAGGTCCTGGTCAGAGCAAGGCAGGTAAAAGGCTTTGCTGGCCCAGAGACGATGAGAGGCTTGATGGTCTTCCTTCTGCAGAGGTGGAGGCTACTAAGTAGTCAGACTGGACACTCACGAAGAGCCAGCGGGTTTCCCTCGTTGGATCCGCACAGTGAGCAGCAGCTCCTGGGGCTTGGCAGGAGCCTGACTCCACAAACTGTGCAAATAACCCCATTGAAAACAGTGAAGAAGACATTGCCTGCACCCACTACAAGGACAAGAGGCCAGCCCCAGACCCCTGGCAGCCTCCTGCACCACAGGGGCTGTGCTGGGGCCATGGGCCATGGGTTGGGGAGCTCTGAGCCGGGAGGAGCAGCTCTGCCCAAAAACAACCAGCAGCCTCACAGAACTGCTTGTTTCTGGCCCCAGCTGGTGGAATAACAATGATTTGCTCACCGTCAGGCCCAGCCAGTGAAACAAGGCAGCCCAGTTTTCACCAAAAAATCTATTTCTTAATCAGCAGACAGGGAGAGAGTCTTCACTTCTGTTTTTTTTTGGGGGGAGGGGGATTTTCATTTTGCGGAAAGTTTGGAGATGTGGGCTCCTGTTCCCGTCTGAAGAGCAAATCCATTTTAAAGAGCGGGGATTTCCCAGAGAGCGGACACCCTTGTTTCTGGCGGGGGGGTGCGAAGGCTGCCGGCCGGTGGGACGCCCGGCCGGGC